GTATATGAGATATTGGTGGTGGTTTCAGATATCTGAAAATTCCTGTTATTCATAAATTCCTATTTTTGTATCTACTAATTTTAGTATCTACTAAGATTTGTGATTTATTCAAATGATAATCTTTTAGACTATTAATTCTAAATGCAGTGGAATAGGAACTCAATCAAATCTTTACATTTTTAATATTAATTAAGTAATTTAAAATTTTTTTATCTGATAATAAGTTAAATATTGTACCATTCTTAAATATTGCACCATTCTTTCTTTGAGAGATATAACTTCATGCTATGACATCTGTAACCTCAGTTCTAATAATTTTTGTTTCGTAATTATGGGGGAATTGAGCAAAGTGGCTTTAACATGATGACGAAGAAAGGTAAAAAAAAAATTAAACATTTGAAAATAAATAGATATATCATATTTCAACTATTCTGATGCACATTTAACATTTCTAAAATTAGAATGGTTCTTACACTTGATAGCATATCATAATTTAATTGGTAGTGTTTTTTCTTTCTTAAAATACATTCATAAAATGGGATATCTTATCATAAGTGATATTTTACAATTAAAGATTTAGAGGTCTTCTCTTTTCAGCTAGAAAATTCAAGAGGAACATGTTTATGTCAAAACCCAGATGTACTCTTACACATAGACTCTGCTGATTTGAGGGATGGCAGAAAGGTTTTCCTAGCTAAACGTTCACCAACTATTATCATCACCTACAGTGCCTGCACTTTCAACAGAAAAGAGCCATCTTCACAAACAGAGGGTTAAAAAGCTAGAAGCAACTTTAAAGGTCAGTTAGACCAGCCCCATTTTATATGATCTGCAGAGGAAAGTTTGCCTAAGGTCATACAGTGAAATAGTCACAAACCCCAGGCAGAATCTGAGTCTCGCAAATCCTAGTTCAAATCTCTCTTATAGAGAGCCACACAAACTTTGTATACCTTGTAGGCCCTTTCTAAAAATAAAAAAGTATAGTCACTCTGTTATCTACTATTCCTAATGCTTTTCTCTATTAAAAAACAGGCCTGAGCGACTATAATTTATGGGGCAGGGTAAAGGGCATGCTGAAGAACTTACTCTGTTTTACAGATTTCCTTAAGGGCCAAGTTGACTCACCTCTTGCCTAGAAGAACACCATTGTTTTCAGAGAAAGAAGACTGTGGACAATGTTGCAGTCAGGCACACATAGTCCTTCCGTAGTGTCCGAACTAGGGATCCTTTATAACATGTTGTATCTCACTTAAGTGTCTATGCTCTGTCAAAGTGGGAAGAAAGGATTTGAAAAAAAAAAAAGTATCCTTTATTCTTTGTCCTTAATCTTAATTAAAGTCTTTACTTTTAATTTTTTGTCAAAAAATAGGTTTGAATAGAGTCTATTTTGAATATTTCCAATCAATAAATTCGGATAAATAAAAATTCTCACAAGTTATCAAGATTTACCCTTAAACTCAGTCTTCTTATAAGTGTCTAATGGTTAGGTCTACTATCTATAAGTCAGATATTGTTGAAGAAAAATGTGCTTAATCACCTGAATAGTTTATTGTCCTTCAACATTAGCCCTCAAAGGTGGATAATTTAAAAGTTTTATTATAGCATGCATTAGAGCAGATACTGGATAATATTGTTTCTCTTTTTTAGCTTCATCTTATTCCAATACCTCCTCTCATTCCGGTTTGCTCTTTTTTTAAAAAATCAGTGATTCTCAATCTTTTCTTTTTCTACTCCAACCTACTTAACAGATTTTTAGTCACAGTAACAATGATTTATTGCAGTATTCATTCTCAATAATGTAGACATCTTTCTTTGTTTCAAAAGAGTTCTCATTTAATTCGTTTAAATATAATTAAATCAGTTACTTTACTATGGGACTTTCAGAGCATTTATTATGTCAATACGCACTGTCAGTGTTCTAAAGGAATATATTATATATGTTGTTCCCCAAACTTAAATGATAAAATTTCACACCTCCCCACCTTGCTCCCTCCACCGCCACTTCGGCCACAGAATGGAGTATCTCTTCTGGATATAATAAATTCTTGAACAGGAAAAGTCTTTGAAACAAAGGTTAAGATGTTACACAGTGTAAGATGTTTGTTTATTCAGCAGTATTACTTTAAAAAGTGAAAATGCATGCACATAGTAGACCAATTGGCTAAAAACGAATGAAGTACACACCTAATCTCATGAGGCAGATCTCATAAGATTGTCTCTTTTGAAGCTCCTCATTACCCAAAGGAATATTATTTAAAAATTACTCAATTAAAATTATTGATATACTGAAAAAGTTGCAAACACCTCCACTTTGGTGTATATACACAATGAACATCCTTTGAGTGTTCTTTCTGTGATCTGGAGTGTACATAGGGCTGAGCAGAATTTTTAAATCATGGGCTATATTTATCCACTATCAACAAAATAGGGAAATGGAGCTGAACCCAGTCTTTTCCTTCCATCCCTATAATTTCCTCTGTTTCTAATTTTGTAGCAATCAAGTTTCAACTAGTTAATCAAATGTCTTTTGTATGGCAGGTGCCAGGGTGTTTGTTTTCATTAGTGTACCAAATGCCATATTTAGGAACTTGGCCTTTGGTTAACTGACTACAAGCATGGCTTTAAACCATTAAACGTGTGTATTTAAACTCAGCATTTATTTTTACATCTCCCTATCCAAATAATCAGGATGTGGTTATCTTTAAGATGATACATTATGACTTTTTTCCTATATACACCCAAGCACAAAAATATATGCTTCAGACATAATCATCAATATTGTAAACATCCATCATCCTGTGCCATTTATAAGATCCCAGAAATGAAGAGAAACCTGGTTAGTAAAATGTGCATAAAAATAGTTAAGGGAAATCCACATGGAAAGGCTTATAAATTGGGCAATTTCATACTGTGTAACCTGTTTTTAACATGATAAAAAACGAGGAAGGAAAACATCACAATTGTAGTTTATCTTTGCCTGAATGAGAAAGCTATTTTTTTCAAAAAGGGAGAGATGCCAGAAATATGAGATAACTTTTAAAATACAGTTATGTTTTGAATATGTCTTCCTTTTTGTTGAGGAAAATCAACGAGACGTCAGCAAAATCAGAAGGAAAAAATATGGTTCCTTGGCTTATTTTCTAAAGAAATAGTTAATGCGGTTTTGGATTGGTATTTTCACCGGATGATGTTGCATTCTTTCTTGTTATTTTTCTACTGTCTCAATTTAGAAACATAATCATTACTTATTGTTTTTTTTTTGATACTTACAAAAAAAAAAAAAAAAGAAACAGCTTCAATATGAATTTGTCAGGAAGAAAACACAGAGAATTTACTGCCCCCTTCCAGAAAGGGTAGAATATAGAGAAGCAGCTAGTAACTAACATTATGTAACAAGATTCCAAAATAGATCAATTGGTGACCTAATGAAGAACTAGTTGAGACTATATTACATAAAAATTAAGATTATATTTGACACATAAACGTTATAGACAATGCTAAAATATTTTTTCTCCATTTTAAGTCTTAGTACACATTGTTAATAGAGATACTACTCTGTTTATAGAAAACACATATTTGTCTATATTCTAGCAGATATCATTTATTATTAAATCTACACTGAGGTTTCATAGCAATATTAGTTTTAGAAAGCATCATAAAGAAAATCTTGGCTTATACTAAAGAGAATGTAGTTACTAAAAAAATACACCTCATATACATCCTTTCACTTACAAATTATAAATCCTACATGAGATAAACAGGTTATACATGAATCAGTTATACCCTCTCAAAGCTCTTCTGAAGTGAGAATTAATGCTCACTTCACAAAAATGGAAAATAAAGTTTAAGTTAAATGATACACACTCAAGGTCACACAAATACTAAAGCAAAAATGATACACAAACCCTGTTCTTTAGATCCATCTTAGCATCCCTTTCTTTGTGTTCCCAGAAGGTTTCCAAATGATTTTTTTAAGAAAATAAAAGTTTACTGAGACTTTTCATTTATAAAAGATGGTCTGGGGGACTTCTTGATGCCATAGTAGATGGCGAAGGAAGCCCATTGTGTTGTAACTCACAGCCTGTGACCTTCCTTCTGATAGGCAGTGCCGCCTGCCTTATGAGTGGCCAAGCTGGCAGCCAGCAGGCCTGATATAGACCATAGATAAGTTTTAGTAAGATGTATAGTGGTTTTTAATGTTAAAAAAAGAAATGTATAAATGACATATTTGTGGTTACCACACAGAATTAACAAATGTTAATGTTTTGACATACTTCCTTAAATATAGATAAAAACTCAATCCCTTATGTTTCTTTCATAATCTTATTTACTTCCCGCTCTCCCCAGAGGCAATCATAGTCATAAATCAAGTTTCATTGATTTATACTTTAATCATATATATGTATTTCAAAATACATGGAATTCCTTTGTGTATTTCCAATTTAGGTAAATGGTAGCATGACATATGCATTGTCCCAGAAATTCTAATTTCCTCCAAAATTGTTTTTTTGAAATTCATATAAATACAAATAACGTTTTGGCAGTAGATACATATATATTTAAGTCATTAAGAATTTAAATGCTTTTAGACACAGTACATTCTCTCTGGTTCACCACAGACCTCAGCAAGCCTTATTCTCTCATATCTAACCAATTTTACACAGTACCCTGTAGGTACTGAGGCTGTAATCCCTGGATGAGATGAAGAATAAAATTACACAAACTAAATTTCTCAGACTTGGGTTACTTTAAATTAAATTATGATTATAGCTATACAACCTCAATCTATATTTCCATGGAAATGAAGCCTTAACAGAATTCAGTCTGGGAGATTGACAACTTCTCTTAACTATTTCTTGAGTTCTGTAAAAGTACACTCCAACATGTAGAAGCTGAATAATTTGGTTTATCACCTGCATATACAAAGCTTTATAGGAGTTTTATTGCTATTTTTATATGCCAAACTAATAAATGGTAACCCTGATCTATGTGACCCTTAGATGCTGGACTGGAGATTGGCAAGTACGCATTTTATCCTCGCTGTGACATTGATGCTGTGGAGCTCAGGAAAAGTGCTCTCAGTGGATGTAGCAACAGAGGTAACGAAAACTACCCTAAGAGAACTTATATATTTTTTATGAACATAAACTATTTCTACTAATGTCAGAAGCAGGTGCTGCTAACAATTAGGGAGATGCTTTGATAACACATAACCAAGGAAATCAGCATTTTTTCTATGTCATGTCTTCACTTTGGATTCAGAGAAAAACAAGTACCTAAATATTAAAAAACTGGAAGTAATAACAAAGATTTGAATTCCTTGAACAAAAATCAAAAGAGAATATTTATTTCCATTTCAGCCATATTTATAATTAAATTAATTACATAGTTGAAGTGTTTTATGTAAAATTTGAAATTGTTTACATGTCAAAATTTGAGTAGTTTTATTATTGTTTTCTTCCTGCCATAACAAGAGTATAGAAGTAAAGAAATGTGAAGGCATCTTGACAGAAAGATGAGTTAATTTGATTTATATGATCTTATTAGAAATATATATTTTTGTACTTCTTAAATAACATAGTCTGAAATGCATTCGCCAAAGTACAAATTTTGTATGAGTTCTATGATTTCTTTTTGTTTATGAATAGCTTTAAAAAGAAGCAAAATATTTTGTGTGTATGTTAATTGGAGGAATAAAAGCATATTTTTTGGAGGGTGCTCTGAGGGATAGTAAAAATCTCCTATCTTCGCCCTTTATGTTTGTCTCCTGCTCTTTAGAGCTTCTTTCTCCTGATTATAGCATTCTTCCCTTCTCCACTTTCTAGTTGTCAGTCTTATATAGGAAAGTGGTAGAAGTTGAGATTTTAAGAGGAATTTGAAACCATATTGTGGACTTTGCACTGTAAGTAACAAAGAGCTAGAAGATATTTTAATTTTTCTCTTTATATGAAAGTGGTGTTTGGAGTTAATTAACTTCATGGAAATATTCAGGATAGAATAAAAAAGAGAGAGATATAAAAAAATAGAAAAACAAGTTATAAAGTGATTAAGAGTGTACGCTAAGCAATGAAGAGTACCTGATATAAGTTACTACTGATGGAATCAGAAAGAGCAGAGGCAAGAGAGGTTTTCCAGAAAGAATTGATTAGACTTAGTGCAGAGTTGATTGGTTTAGGAAACAGCAGGCCCAATAGCTTTGAATCTATGTGTCAGACCGTAAGTATTTCTAATGAGAGTTGCTGGAGTCAGTGCTGAAAAGGCTGGAAAATGCTACTCTGGTGTTATTAGAGAAAATATAGAGAATGGAAGAAATCATTCAAGAAGAAAAGACAGGAAGTGATGAAAAAGAGCCTCGCCTAGACCAAGAATTTGGCACATGGAAAATGTGATTAAAGGGGGAAAGTCAAGAGATCCTTGGAGCCAAATTTCTTCCCATAGGGGAATATTCTCAGGCTGTTGGAAAAGAAGTGGTATGTCTTGGACTAGACAGTGACTCAAGATTATTAATAGGAGCATTTTAAAAATGTTGCGATTGGGCCTAGACTTCACAAACTGGACACATACTTTTGTAACTTAGATGAGGTACAAAATGGCAATATGTGTAACAGATAAGTAAACAACAAGAGATTTTACATGGGACAATAAAGTCATGGATAGCTCTAATTCATTGCAGATACTCATTAATACTTGTTAATAGGTCACATAAATAAAGATGGTAAGCTCCCTGAGGGCAGAGACTGGATTTTGTTCATTTTTGTGTCCCTTAGGTCTAATGCAGAACCTGGTACATAGTGTATGCTTAGTGATTTGAATCAATAAGGAATGAATGAGTGTCGAAAAAAATAATGAGTTAAGCTTTTTTCAAAATTAATTCAATAAATATTCATCAGAAATGTATTATTATGAGCAAAATAACTAGAATAGGCATTGAATAGAGCAAATAAAAGACTAATTAGAGAGAGCCATTGCCCTCCAGTTACTCACAATCTAATATGCAATATAAATACATTGTAACCAATCAAATTCAAAGAAAAATGTCATGAGTTCAATGACTAAAAAAATATAGCTAAAACGTAATAGGAATAAGAAAGGATGCAGTTGTTACTGGGAAAGAATCTGAAAGAATGGTCAGTTAATATATTAAACTTTAGAAACAGGCTCTCTGAGTGGTTTGGTTTTCCTTTAATTTCTTTTGGGTATACTTCGACTCCTTTGTTTTTGTACCCAAAAGTCTTTCTTTCTGGATCGTAGCTGCATAAGAAATCAAGCTCCATGACAGGCATGTCAGCTAAACATAGCAAAAACTAAATGCAGATTGATGATGGCACATAATTGAGGTTTCTATTTCTTAATGAATGGAATCACCTTTCCTGCCCGATAGGCTTTTGATTCTGGACTCAGAGATGTGCAGTCACCACCCATAATGAGGGAAGGGAAATCAGCTGCTGATCTGGCAGCTAAACTTATGCTTCTTGATGAACTTGTGTCTCTGGAGAATGACGTGATTGAAACAAAGAAAAAAAGGAGTTTCTCTGGTTTCGGCTCTCCAATGGACAGGCTCTCAGCTGGCTCTGTAGATCACAAAGGCAAACAGAGGTAAGCGAAGCATTTGGAGAAGGAAACTTTCATTTTCTAATTCTTCCACATTGGGTTCAGAAACAGAGAATGCCACATAAAAAATACAATGAAAACCTTGTAGCCTTTTAGGCAAATAGATCTGACAGTGTATCAGCTTATTTGTGAGTTTAATTATGTGATTTCAGATATAATTGTTTAGGGAGCAAAATGATTACTACAATATGCATGTGTTTATATTTTTGTCATATTGTTTTCTGAGGAAGATTCTATTGCATGCAGATGTAAAATACTTATTGTAAGACACTACAATGTTTGAGAAGTGAACTATGAGATCAATGTTCTGGTCAACTGAGTTTTCTGTTTATTATTAGAGGTAACCAGAATACCATTTTTCTTTTTATCCGTCATACAAAGCTTCTCAAATTATGAGAGTATTTCAACTCTCCTATACCAAAAGGTAGTGATTTCTTGCAGAACTTGGAATCAGAACAAGTATGCTTATGCCAAATTTCTGATCACTTCTAGCTGTGTAACTTTTATAAGAATTTTATCCTCTATGATCCTTAGTGTATTTATCTGTAAAATGGAGATAGTCACTTACCTTCATTAAAATTAAATGAGTACTTTTTAACTATTGATTTTCATAACAGAATTAAAGCAATTAAATCTCCCTTTAATCATTAATAACTGTCAGTACTTTAAAAGAATCATTCCAAACACTTCATTTTCTGCCCCCTCGATGTTCCTCATGCTATAGATTTCATATTAACAATGGCACAAAAGACCACTCAATTACCAAAATCTGGAATTTGGAGAATTTACCAGGATTCCTTTTGTTCATGCTAAGCATTTTATTTTTCACTAAATTCTCTAAACCCTATTTGTTTTATATGTTAAATATCTACAGAATATTTTTTCCCCTAGGTTTTCTTAATTCTGGCCTAAATTGTCTTTTTCACATTTTTTTTATTTTTCAAGTTTTTCCTCATCTCCAATTCCACCACCATCACCATCTGTTTACCATCAACACATCCTTTATTTTCTACCAGAGGGATCATCTAACACAAAAATCCTTTTTGTGGAATGTTCCCATTGCTTACAAGATAAAAACAAATTTCTTAGTGAAATCCTATGAAGTATTTCATAATCTGGTACCTCATTTCTTCATGCATTCATCTACATAATCTTTGTTCCAACCGTGTCTGGTGACCTGGAGTTCTAGGACCTGTCATGCTTGTTCATGGTTCTATGACTTTGTATGCTCAGTGATTCTCAGCACACAAGACGCAATTTTCTAGACTTCTGTTCTAAAAGTTTCTCAAATCTACACTAGAAAATAAAATCATCACTTTAGAACTATAATTTAACCACCTGTACTTAAAAAAAAAATAATCCACACCTATATTTTGAAATTTAGACCCTATTTTAATAAAACAAATATAAATCAATTCCATTTATGTTCTAGGCACTGCATTGGGCTAGGGTGGAAAAGAGAAGGAAAATGTAGTCTTCGGCTTTCAAAGAAACCACAAACTAATAAGAAACATAGAAATATTTATAACAAATTATAACACAAAGCAAGATGAGATATGTTTAAAAAGTAATTTATAAAGGTCATGGAGATACAAAAGATAAGTGATGAAAATATTGTGCCTTCTAATAGGTATTACTTCTTTGAATTCTGGGTCTTGCAACTACTAAATAATTTGAAAATCAATACATAAGTGTTATATGTAAATAGTTATACATAAATTTATAATAATATACATAGCATATGTGTCAAATATGTATTGCATAAATATTATATTTATAATCTCTGCATTATAAATATAGTCTACATTAAGGCTTCATCATATTAAGAAGTGTCAAAAAGAAAGACTATATTAGGAGCTATATAGTCTATCTAACATTGCTCATTTTGCAAGACATAAAGGGAAATTGGCAAGCATTTAATATTCATTTGAACAGGTTTCTACCTCTAAAGGTTAAAAATAAACTATTATAAGCCTGCAAAAAGTAGGGAATATTTCGCTCATGAGAACTTCTTGAGGAAGCTACTAGTTTAGTTTCTTCAGGCAACCCAAGTGACTGGAGAAATATCATCATAAGAATTGGTGTGAGCTTAACTTTAGAATTAAAGTGAAATGATGGCTGCAAGAAAATGAATGTCATGTGTTACGGTTATACAATTTGACAATATAGGTACATCGAAGTACCAAATGATTCAAGGAAAATATTGAGAGCATATAAAATTTAGAATGAGGTTTCGATTATTTCATAGCTATTAACTGGGATAAAAGAATATTACAACAACTAGTTGCTTGAGGAAATGGAGAAGGAAAAGAAAAAATTATCAACAAAATTTAATGAATCTTTTACTAAAGAATAAAAAACAAAAACTAAAAAGAGGGAAGAGCATGGTTTTTATGTAAAAATATTACTACAAAAATAACCATAAGAATAAAAATTAAAACTCTTGTATAAAAAGAGCACAAAAAAATAGGACACAGTGAAAAACTTTATATAAAAGACTCTCATATATAAATATAACTTTTAAAATATGATAGCTTCCAAAAATATTGATCATATCAATAAATGTAAATAGGTGTAACTTACCTATTAAAATACAGATATTTCAGATTGTTGAGAAAGGAAAAATCCAACAGTTTTCTGTGTTTAAGAGACACAATTAAAAATAAAGAGATTTAGAAAGGTTGGCAATAAAATAATGGACAAATTATACATAAAAAAAACATAAATTAAAAATAAAAAAGAGTGCACTAACGTATATCAAAGAGAAACCACAGGGAATGCTAAGAAATAGACAAAACACATGTTAATAATAGGTGACTTTGGTTCATGTTTTCAAATCCAAGACAAATTGTATATTGAAAACTTATAGAAGACATATACAACATAAAGAGAACTTATAAATCTGTTTGGAATTCTGAACCTCAATAACAGAAAATATAACTTTTTTTCAAGTGCATATATAATATTCAGAAAATATACAGCTGAGGTGACAAACATTCTCAAGAAATTCTAAAGAACAGATGTATTCCAAATGCATTCACTAACTAAACTGCAGTTAAGACTAGAACTTATGACAAAACCAGAGAAAAAAGGGCACTTTTGCCTAGAAGTATAAACCATCTTATTAAATAAGCTGCGGAGTCAAAGAGTAATACAAAATAATCTATACACCCTATTGAAAATAGCAATAAAGACAATGTAATATTATAGATAGATAAAGTAAATATCAGATTCAAATTATCATTATAGTAATAAAAATAAAAATAAAGGAAACACTATACAGCAAAAATCTTGAAAGAGCAGTAAAGTTAGCCAGAAAAAAGCTGAAAAAAGCAGGAGACAGAAATTAACAATGAAAAAAATCAAAATCAATAAGTTTATAAAGCAAAACACAGAATATACTAAATTAATGCAAACCTGTTTTTATTAAACTAACAAAAAGACAAGCTATGAGCTAATCTAATTAAGAAAAAAGTAGAAATCATACTTGCAAAATTAGAAATGACAAGATGGAAATAATCATAATAAACCATCAAAGCAGAAGAATTTAGAGAACAAGAAATTACTTTGCTCAATTCTATGTAAATAAATTGAAGACCTAGAAAAAATGGATATTTTTTTAATATCATTTACAAACACCAACCCCCCGCAAAAACACAGTTTAATTACCACAGAAAATTTTTGTTAGAGCCTGTCTAGAGAAAATACCAGATCTAGATATTTTCACAGGAGAATTTTACCAAATCTTAAGTTTTCAGATAATCTCAATATTATGTTAACTTTTAGAGTACAATAAAAAGTAAACTTTCCAAGTTCATTTCCTGAAACAAATGTAATTTTAATCCCCAAATCACAAACATTACATCTTAATAAGGAAACTTTAGACCTATCTCATATATTAATATCAAAGCACAAATCATAGATAAGATGTTAGCAAGCACAATACAGCAACACTTTAAAAATATAACATGTCTTAATCAGTAAAGTTTATTCCGGGAAAGTGTGTTCAGAAGGATTTCTTTTAATGTAATCCATCATATTAATAGAGCAAAGGAGAAAAAGCATGTGATCATATCCACAGATGGCAGAAAAGATATTTTACAAAGTCTAATATTTATTCGTATATTTTTAAAAAGTGAATAAAATAAGAATTGACAGATAATTTGTTAACATGGTGTGTGTGTGTGTGTGTGTGTGTGTGTGTGTGTGTGTGTGTGTGTGTGTGTGTGTGTGTGTGTGTGTGTGTGTGTGTGTGTGTACCTCAACCCACAAGTCAATATTTTACTTAATGATGAAATATACTGGAAACTTTACTAAAATGAGAAACAACAACAACAAAAATACCCATTATTTCCACCATATTTTAGAAATGCATATAGGAAACAAAAAATATTTTGAGACATAAGAATTGGAAAAAATATAAAACTATGTTTACAAATTATAAGTTGGAAAACCAATATAATCAATGGAAAAACAAGGACAGCAAAACTGTTGGATAAAAACATAAAGTGCATAACCATATAAAGCTAATACCCCTTCTATATAAACAGAAATCAAATAGAAGATAGAAAACCTCATTTGCAATTGCATAAAGACATAAAACTAATAGAGAATGTCCAACAAACATGAGAAAAACTATAAAAATAATGCTGAAATGCAAAAAGTAGTTTTGTACAAATGGAGACACATACTATGATCTTGCATCAAAAGACTCAAGAACAGAAAGATAACAGCTGTTCCTAAGTTAAATTACAAACAATGCCAATCAAATATACCATCAGGTTTTTTTGGTGCTAAAGAAGTTATCATAAAAACCATTTGAAAGAAATGAAAACTAGCATAGCCAGGAAAACCCTGAAAAAAGAAGGAAAAGTCCTACCACATATTTCAAAATATTTAATTTTCCTTTCTTTCAATAGCATAATGAAGAAACCAAAAATAAAACAGAATGGACATTCAAGAAATAAACTCAATTATATATATAA